TCTGGGCATTGGGAGCATGACGCTCGCACGTTTAGTCGCGGAAAACGAATGTTTTTCTCGCGGAAATTTTGTTAGTTTTTGCGCGTTCCGCGTTGCGCGCGCACTTTGAATAAAGACAGTTGTGAATATCAGAGAAACACGTCAGCTGACTGTACTTTATGTAGCTGTATACGTGTCAACGCAGCTGTATACATACATACATACATACAGTGTACTAGTGTTAACGAAAGTGAATTATATTAACTTTTATTGAGGTTCAGGTTGCCTGGTATACTTTCATATATGTAGTAATTGAATGTGTTATATATATTTTGTAAGAGATTTATGTATAAAATATATTCTATTCAGTCGCAATGAAATCAGTGCTTAGTGTTATAATATGGTGCTCTGTAGACATTTCACTTGTAAAAAAATAGATGTTATGTATCTCCGCCTTATATAAGAACTTGGTTCTAATAATAAATAACTGTAAACATCCAATTATAACGTAACATTTCCAAACTTCCAAGTTAACGATGTTAAATAAAAATAAACTTAAATAACATCAACAATATCTTATGAAATGAGCTTCTTGTTTACACAAACTTTTGACTCAACTTTCCGAATCGGTTGAAAAATGATATACAATGGTTATATTTAAACTTTATGTTTTGTAATATCTGCCTTAATTACTAATTTTATTGCTAAAGAAATCGTGAGCCGATGATTATTCAAAGACGTCTCATCACCGCTCGTAATTGCTCGATGTCAAAGATCATATTCGTACATTTTAAGGTTGTGATCACACTACCTTAAATATAGACATTCTACTTATAATTTATTTGTTATACAAATTTTAAAGGTATTACGGAGAGGACATGCAAATGAAGGACATCGTCATTACAAATATATAACAATCTGTACAAATATTATCCGCAAATATACATATTTGTTCAAATACTTAAGTTGACACCTACAATATGTATTCTAGTAATCTTTATAGTGGATTATTATCGCTTATTTAAATCTATTTTAATGAATTTTTATTTCATTTCTATTTAAAGGTTTGGTCGAATTCCTTTCTTCAAAACCACACAAACTTGTATATATATACGTATATATACATATATATAACTGAAAGCAGGTTTTCGTATGTTACTATTTAATTTGCAGACCTCCGACATAGGCCTGATGTGTCGGAGACAGCGGCAGGAAGACATCCCCCCTCCCCCCTCCTCCCACCCCACGGGTTGCCTCCTTGGACATACATAGAACATAGACTATTCAACTGGAACGGGTTAAGTATTCAAAATAATAAATAATTTATATCTAATCTATTGTGACTTCCATTCTCAAAGAATTAAAATAATTCCGACAATTATTATTTTAATCACGGATTAATATATTGTACACCATCATTTTGATTTTTGGGTGTTTGTTTTCGTAAAAATTGTCGTACCTCATAATAATAAACACAATTGAAGAATGACTTTTAAAGTAAAACGTTTCATATTTTTTATTTAGTTAAATTTTAGCACCCTAATAAATAGATTTCCATGGAGAGAATACAGATTCAAAAAACGGGATTTTGGATTGTTTTAACTTTCTACTTCTTTCAGAATGACTAGTAGGTATCTACTATTAAGACGAATCATCAAATTGTTACATTTATTCTGTTTACATACAGATTTAGTTTTGCAATAGTCGTGTAAAATTTAATTGACAGAACCATTGCAGGATTCGTGCAGAGAACCATACCTAGGTGAAACTATAACTAAGCTTTAGGTATTAGATATACGCCTTCCCAGGAGATAGTTGTTACGTGTGCGGTCTTGTCGGTGACCAGTCGTCAGACCAATATTGGCCTTTCATTATCATACTCCAGTTCCGTCTTGAGATGCATGCCCTATATACATATGACTATACGAAGAGAAATGTTACCATACTATTGCCTACATATAACTCTTCCTAACACTCCATATTCCATTCGAATTAACGAAAATAATTAAAGTACAATTTAAATTTAACAACAAAACATACATAAATTTACCAACGAAAAGTTCTTGATAACTTAAAATATTCACGAAAATGACATCGTTAAATAGAAACGTTATCCGAAATTGCGAGACAACTTTTTGCACAATTTAGACAGCACCAGAATTAAAGTAACTTTTTAATATTAAAGTGACGATTCGTCAACAATACGCAGCGGCCATATTGCTCCGCGGTGTTGCCAGGCGTGATAATTATTAATTTGCGAGACACTCTCGCGCTGTCATTAGTGACACCTCGCGCCAATTAGGACGCGCCGAGTGTTTGATGCTCGCTTTTTATTTAACACCAGCAATTATTGAATGACGATGTGTTGTAGTGCTTTTTCAGTTGTGCCGAGGTGTTGACATTTACAATTTAAAAAAAAAAAATACCTCTGCACATTTTCATCGCACTTAAATGATAGGGATGTTGATTGAACTTAGGAATTCTGAAAATGGGGGGAGGGGATACGGTTTACACAAAAAATGTATATGTTGCAAAATTGTTTGAAGATATTATTATGAATTTATTGTTCTATTTATTTTTATTATTACTTTTATATTAATATTGAATCTAATATTGTGATAACTATTTGCTAATTAGACTGAAACCGCTTTGAGATTATATTTTTAAATTGGTATTATAAATCAAAAGATATATTTTAAGTAGTTATATAAATGTATGTAATATAACAAAGTGTTTAATTTAATTATAAAATATTATACTTTTTAATTGAAATAAAGAAAATGTTTATAATTTTTTGTTTTATTTCCTCTTTTCAATGTAAGCCAGAATATTGTTATGTACTTTTAAATAAACATTCATTAACGAAGAACCTAAGACTTCGTAGCTTCCTGATAACATAAAAAAAAACTTATTGATTAAGTTTTAGAAAAAAAATCTACTAAGAAAAAAAAAACTTCAAAATTATTTTGGTAATCAAAATATTATTTTTGGTCTATAAAATAAACATATTTATAAAACAAATACCACGGACATAAACTTTATGATGGTTATAAAATGATTAGGCAAATTACTTAAAAACAAAAGATATTGATCGTAAATACTCATTCCAGTTACTGGAAATATTTTAAACAAAGTCGCCGTACACCTAAATTACTTATTTGTGTTCCTCGTTTATTGTTTTTAAAGAAATCTACCTGGCTTTAATCTTTTGTCTTCATTTTACAGTTACATAGATAATTAATTACTAAGAAATGGTAAGCTAGGTACAACATGCTTACATATAGTTTGTTTTTAACGAAAACAGATGATGTATATGAGTTGTAGTGAGTAGGTATCACGTAGGTATTACATTAAAAAAATATAATAAAAGTTAATTAATAATTACTACAAATATATCTGAATATTGGAATAATTAATAATTGATAACACTATGTTATATTATTCCAATCGAATATTCTTTTCTTTTATAAAATTGTGGCTAGGTACCTATATTATAGATATATGTTATATAAGGATAAATACCTATAAGTATTTCATTTAATTATAATTTCCTAAGTAGGTATGTCAGTAATATTTGTAGTACCAAATTTTTATTATCGAAATACATTTACCTACTGATAAATGTTTTTTAAATTATTATTTTAACATCAGGAATGTTATGTGAAGTCTTAAAGTTTTTTTTTTAATCAGCGACAAAGTAAGAACTTGTTAGCATTCGCAAGTTTTTGACAAAAACGTTATAACTATACTAATTCACATATATATTTATAAATTTTGATTTTTTTTCAAAACTTGAAAAACAATTATGATTATTTTTCGATTATATACTTGTGTTTTATTTACTTTTCGTCTTAAAACAGGTTAATAAAGAAATAATTAGGACTCGATAAGTTTTTTTTTAAAACAATATATGCTGAGAAAAACACATTTATAAATAACATATGTAGATTATAGCAAATAGCATATGAGAAAGAGATTAAGTTTTTGTTTCAATTTTTATACATGTTCAAACTTGTAGGTATGATTTGATCCGATAGTTTTCATTGAATATGTTATTTCGAAAGTTTAATACATACTACGTTGGTACTTATATTAAAATACCTATTGTAATTCTTACTAAACTTGATACTTCTGTAACAAGACAACTAAAAATATTTTATAATCACATCCAATAATATTTACTTATGTATATTAATTTAATTTTTATTTCTCTCATATTGCTATAAAACATCAAGATTTGAATAAGATGTGCCTATTACGAAATTATCATCAACAAATATTTTCATGAATATTTTTCCTTAACAACTGAAGCGGCTGATTTTGTGGAGTCTTATTGGCATAAGCTGACGCTGTAAGGGAACCTTAATCAATTTATGGTTTTAGAAAAAACAATATAGAAGTGAGGAATAATATGTTGAGTATAATATAGTTTCGACTTTGAAAATTATCTCCACATTAATGTAACTTTTTTCTATATACCTATATCTGAGTATTTCAAACCCAGGGAATGCATAGTTTTCGGAATTATTTTTATTACTGAAATTTACATAAAATCTTAACTCATATTTAATTGATGTATATGGTTAAAACTTCATTTACAGTAACCTTATTCAGTCATAGCTACATAATATCTATATTAGTTGGTGAAGACCTTACATTAAATGTACTTAATTACGTTTGTTCTATGAATATACAAAAAAAAATATAGTAAAAAGAAAACAGTCGTTTTATTTAGTTTGAAATAAAGCAATACATAACACTCTACCTAACGTAGGATTACCGCGTGGCTGTTGTTCAAAGTAACAAAAAGTATAGTAAAATTGGCCTTGTAGTATTGTTTATATGTAACATAATGCATAGTGAATGAGTGCTTAAATTGAATAACTCGCTATTGTGGCCAGGAACAAAGAGCCGTGTTGGAAGTGATCATCAATGACTATCTCGATTATTATACACATTAGCGCCTCGGCTCGCTACCGACAGGCCTTGAACTTAACGAACAGCTGAACTAACTCTACCAGCGACTCTACCGCAGCTGTTCAGAGACTGAGTCAATATGTAGAGACATAGACTACTGGGAAAACAGACAGCTCGCTACGAGATAGACCGACCCTCCCGATACATGAAAAGTTATGATGATGTATGTATACCAAAGTATGTGATGGCATTAAAAGTTTTTTTAATTGGAATTTGAAGTAGCGCTTTACAAAAGAGCTAGATAGCGTCTGTTGTTTACAACATGAACTAAGGTCGAGAAGGTGCAGCAACCGTCGGCAAACAAAATTGTGATTTGCATGAGGCGGCCGCGGCGAGGCGTACGGTCGCCTCGCTCGCCACGCGATTAAAAATGCAGGGTAGCGCGGGCGGCGGGTGGCGGGGGGGCGGAGTCTCAGCGGGCCGCCATTGGTCGGGGAAGGGAGCGGGCGGGCCCCAGGGCGCGGGGGGTGCGCGGGGGGGGGGGGGGGGGTGCAGCTCACTCACCGCCGCCCGCCGGACGACCACCTCACAACGCACGTAGCCTCCGCGCCGTACGGTCCCGCGCCCGCTATCACGCCGCGCACCGCCGCGAGTCCATGTGAGCGACCGACAGTTCTCTCGTTGTGTACGGTGAACGAAGGATCGGCAAGCTGTACGCGCCGCAGGAAGACGACATGCTGACGATGGAGACGGACCTCAAGGGCGGCAGCCTGCACGCCACCGTGCCGCCGCACCACGCGCTGCAGCACGGCTACGGCTCGCTGGGCGCGCTCGGCGGCATGATGGCGCTGCCGCAGCAGCAGCCGCTGGCCCAGCACCAGCCGCTGCAGCACCACCAGCACCAGCCGCTGCCCCAGCACCACGCGCAGCCCCAGCCACAACACCATCAACCCCCAAACAACAACAACAACAACTCCAGCAAGAACTCCAACGCGGAGAGGGTGAAGCGTCCCATGAACGCTTTCATGGTGTGGTCGCGCGGGCAACGCAGGAAGATGGCCTCCGATAATCCTAAGATGCACAACTCAGAAATATCTAAACGTTTGGGAGCACAGTGGAAAGACCTCTCGGAGTCAGAGAAGAGACCGTTCATCGACGAGGCGAAGAGGCTTCGGGCCGTTCACATGAAAGAACACCCGGACTACAAGTACAGGCCCCGGAGGAAAACGAAGACGCTCGCCAAGAAACAGGAGAAGTACCCGCTGGGAGGCGGCGCGCTGCTGGGCGCCGGGGACGGGCAGCGCACGAACGCGCCGACGGCACAGCAGCCGCGGGACGTGTACCAGATGACGCCGAACGGGTACATGCCCAACGGGTACATGATGCACGACCCCAGCGCCTACCAGCAGCAGGCGTACGGCTACCCGCGCTACGACGTGTCCCAGATGCAGCAGCAGTACAGCGGCGGGTACTACGGCGGCGGGCAGGGCTCGCCGTACCTGCCCCAGCCGCCGTCTCCCTCCGCGTACGGGCTGGGCCCCGGCTCGCCCGGAGGGTACGCGATGCCCGCCTCGTGCGCCTCTCACTCGCCCAGCGGCTCGTCGGCCAAGTCGGAGCCGGTGTCCCCGGGCCCGCCGGGCATGAAGCGCGAGTACGTGCACGAGCCGCAGCTGAAGCGCGAGTTCGCGCACGCGCACGGCGGCCAGAGTCACCCGCACGAGCAGCTGGGCATGAAGCGCGAGTACGGCCAGCAGGACCTCAGCCACATCATCAACATGTACCACGTGCCGGACGAGCAGCGGTACGCGGCGGCCGGCGAGCGCGCCATGCCGCTCATCTGAGAGTCGCCGTTCGCGTGCGACATCGACATCCCGCCGCTATGAGCCGGCCGTCGCCCGCGCCTTGTGACTTTGTACCGTTCAGTGATCCTTACGGCGTACATACTTCTAGGTATGTCATTTCTTTGTTTTTGTAATGTAATGTACCGCCTCGTTAGTGTTGCGAACTGTTGACCGAGCGTTCTATTAATGTTGTTGATGACTATCTTGTATTATATTACGATTATTGTATTTTTTCATGGTTTTAAGTTAAATATTCTAAGTTGTGTTGTGCGGACGGACGAGAGGTTGTTGCGGGAGACGGCGTGCGAGACGATTGAGAGATCGGTTATTTGAATACCAAAAAAATTGAACAATATGTAAATATAGTGTTAATGACTAGATGATGAGTTAGTCGTAAAGAGTAGATAGATAGTGTTAAGAGGTGCCACGACACCACTCCGTACAGCCGTCGTCGTGTGTTGTACAAATATTTGTTATATTGATCGAAAGTTATGATGGCTCGAAAGACTAAAACTATTGTAATACAAAAATGTACAGTGAGTGTTATATAGTCAGTGGACACAAAGTATATTGAAGAGAAAAATGAAGTTATCAATAAACGACGCGTTAAACTGTATCTGCTGTTTTGTTCCATTATCCTTATATACTTATTTGTACCCATCATTGTGTTTTAAACTTTAAATTGCAATAGAAAATCTATTTTATTTTAATACATTACATATTTTATTCATTCAAAGTTCAGTAATGATGCTACAACATATCGTCCATATTAAAGATTTCAACGCCGCCTTAATCTAATGTCCAATAGTTATTTTGAAATGTCAGTATTAAGAAGGTAATTTGAAAAAATATCTTCTGTAAACATTATGAGAATTTCTTTGATACGGTAGCTGTTGATTAAGACATTAATAATTACCGAATGATAAGAAAATTATACTTATATGTATATTTAAAGATACAACATAAGTGTTTATTACTTAAAAACATTATGATGATACAATTCTAATTTAAACATTAAAAATTTAACTTAATCTATATTTTTTATAACATAAAGATTATCATAAAGATATTCTGATATAAATATTTCTTTAATACAGATTTTATTTCTGTATATAATTTCATATTAATGGAATAAAAAAAGATTAGAATTTTTCTTATTCACTTTTATTTTTGGACACTCAAGTTAATTTTGCTTATTTAATATTTGATTTAAATAAATAAAAGGCACTTGAAGCATGATTTGAACAACATTAACATTTAAACAAAATAATGATAATTTAATTACATATACAGTATACTTTTAGATATTTTTTTCCTTATTTTGTGGAAGGTTTTATTCAATATAAGAGCAATGGTAATAAATTACTTTAAAAGTTCACTGATAAATAATTAATCATTCAAAGTCTGTTATTTATTATTATTTTCTTTTTTTATTACTTAAGATAATATTTAGAACTTATGTTCTTATGTCTTCCATAATTTTTATAACATCAGTGTTTCAGGTAGTAGAACCTATCTCAAGAAACTAATAAACAATAGTTATTTTATTAATTATATAGAACAGAAAAAAATATATATTTTTGCAAACAAAATTTTTAAACACAATGAATGTTAAGTTTATTAACCAATCACGGTTTTTTTCATAAAATCGTCACGTAAAATGTTTTAAATCCAAAAAGTATGTTAAAATAGAAAACCAACTTCAATCAATTGGTTAATTCATTCATTTACTGTTGTGTATAAGTACTCTAGTAGTAACATGTCATAAATATTTAAATGAACTCCATTAAAACAAGTAAGCCGATCGCTTCAAGGAAGGCATTTCAATCAATTACTGTCAACGTAAGGGGTGAGAGGATTTAATCAAATCCCGGGAATAGTTGATAGATTCAGACACTTTTTCGTCCCCCGGGATGGCAATCCCGCGAACACGCCCCAGTGTTTAAGCTGTATAATTTAAACACTACTTTCGATAGGGTGACTTATGGTGCGAATTTATTAACATTGAGAGAAGGGCATTTTATGTTCCGAAACGAGAAATCGGACGAAGCACGGCTTCATTGGTCTAATTTTAATTAACAATCAATTTAGATATTCATATAAAAATTACAAAAATTGCCAAAAAGTTATTACACTGTAATGAGGTTTTAAAAAAGACTGTATGTTATTAAAATACTATGTATTTATCTAGAAATATAACCAAATATATACTGTTACTTTTGCAAATTACAAACTTCATTTGTACATAGAAGTAATACTTAATTGTCATTTTTTATACACTAAACCAAAATGGAACTATTGAGAGTAAACCATACCTACTTAAACAAATAGTATAAGTGAAATCTGATAACCTTTTGAACTATAAGCGTCACAGCCTGTATTATCGTGACTACAAAATAGTTTACATATAATTAAAAAGTATATATTTACAACGTACTTTTCTTCAGTAAAAAAACAATTTGAGAATACCACAATTTTTTTATTTTGCCAAAAAAACACATTGGTGATATTGAATATTATCTCAAAAGGCACACTATATTAACAAAAAAACCTGTAATTCTTTATAAAAAAAAGTCAATTCCAAAAATTAAAACAAATTGTCTTAAAATGTTTTGTTTGCCGCACCAAAATAAAACGGCTGGTCAGACTAATGACAAGTTGTAATAATTTTTAATAACTAGGGTTCGGTAGGCAATAGTTTGAAACATAATATCACTTATAATACTAAAGCATCAAATAAATTAACATGAGAACATAAAACGATATAAATTAATTTTATATTTTTTATATGAATACCCACAAACATTACCATTTATTATATTTAACCCACATACGTAAATTTTGAGGGCATTGAAGGTACAATGGAGTTCCGTCGTGTGTACGGAACCTTAAAAACGGTCAACTAAAACAGGGCGGATGTCGTCACATTCGCACCCCACCGTCACGCAGGCACCCCCAGGCCCCAGGGTGTAATCACGGTTCCCACGAACCTTGGCCCATTGTCTCACGGTACTGATTGTTGGCTTGCAATCAACAGCGTCTTACACATTACTATATTGATCAAAGAATAATTTGAGTTTGAGTTCATCAAAATGATACTAAGATTTTTCGGTTATAAAAACTACATACTCCAGATATTTCGGCTTCTTTTCAGAACTCTGGCATATAAGATGTGGTTGTGTAGTGTATCCGAAAAATATTAGTTGATTTAAATGAATTAAATTCGAGAAAGTCTTAGATCTCATTTGTTCATTAAAACCAACAGTTGCTAGACCTTATATCAAAGCAATTGATATTTGATATACCTATTTTTATATTGTACTAGCTAACCAGTTATTTATAATCTAGTTTTTATTTTAAGGAATATAAGTTTGAACAGTTACTTGGTTTCTGAATTGGCATGAAATTGAAGAATGACTTATCATTACTTAAATGCCACTAACAAAAAATATGATATATTATGGTAAAAAAATGTCTCCGTAAAATAGTGTTTAATAAATTAAAATAATGATTTACAAAAGCATATATGTGTATGTATCAAAATCAATATAAGATATACATGTGCCTCCAAAATTGTACATATATGTTGTAAAAATAACAATAATATGTCACAAGCTGTTAGACATATAAAACAAATAAATAAAAAATATTAAGTAAGAATTAAAGATAAAATTAAGAAGACATCTTGATAATTGTTTTAATACTGTACAAAGAAAATGAAATTGTGTGATTGTCCGAATAATCTGAATAATAATTATCATCATATTAATAGACATATATATAATAAAACAGAATCAAATGTATGTTGTTTAATCGAATATCTGAAGTAGTGGATACTAACAATTAAAGCAACTTCTGTCTTACGAAAACTATTACAATTTTGGACATAAAAATAAATAATATGACACATAAAAAGAGGTCATATTTGACTCATAGGTACTGTTTGTTAATAATTGGAAATTATTTTTGCTATAGTTATGAATACAATTTTTTAATGACCTGACTTAAAATTTATATCAAACTTAACATGCTTATAAAAAACATAAAATAACTAATTAATACAAGCTTTAAATCACTTACATATATCATTTTATTATTTGTTATTTTGATGTTTTAAAACATTTATCTATTACATAAGTAATTACTTATAACATTTAAGTTTATATTACAAAGTAAGTAAAAATTAAAAATATATCTATAGTGATTACTTTTATATTTGACTTTTTCTTTAATTCTCGTATATTCCGTTACGAATATTAATATTTATAAAAAAACTAATCGCATACATATTTCATGCGATGTCAATCTCTTACGGAAGACATATAGTGATGTGTAAATTAATATTATTTAAAATACAAAATTATTTTGTAGTAACAGGCGTCAAATAGACTTTAATCATTAATTATAATCTATACTCTAAAAATAAAACCATAAGAAATCAGTAAATAATGCAACTCAAACTAAATTCTCCTTAGAAAAGATTTAAACAATCCCTAACATAAGGATCATGATAACTGTGATAAGCTAGGTATATTTAACAAAAAATGTGTTACATACATCTGGTGGTCTACCGTCTAAGAGCACGTTGTCTTTCTTAAAGTTAATACCCAGCCCTGGATCTGACAAACAAGTAAACTTGTCATGTTATTCGTTAGTCAAACAGCGATGTTTGTTCTTGAGATCGACACCGGAGCCATCCCTTTGTTTTTGTGTTGTCAATATTTGGTCTCATTTGTCATTAAATGGTTTTGAACTGTGATTCGTCGCCTAGATGTGGGTGGCGGCCGGGATGCAAATACATAAACATGAGCCGATTGATCTTCGACGGTCCCATCTCGTATATCTGATTTGTTTATCTTATGGTAATAGCGACCTATATTTGTATGTACAGTTTTATGTTAAGCGTTTCGTCATGAACCATAAATGAGTGTTCAGTTATCATACTGATAAAATATGCCTGCTATATGCAGATAAGATTTTTTGTTAAACATTACATTTTCACGAAATCGTATTACCGAATCGTAAGTACAGTCTACCTGGGGATTCGACTTAAAGTACCGTTACCACTAACGATTCTGAGAAGGTCAAGCGCACTAAGCTAAATTCCATTTATATTTTTTGCTTTCGTGTTTGACGTAGAGCGAGATGCATATAGCTGTCTCTATACAACGGGGTGGCATCTAATATACACCGTAGTCGTAGCTACATATTTACAAACATTTTAGGATAATATAAAATGACAAATACTATTAATATTTCTTAAACTATTAAATATATTGTTCTTAATATAAAATTCATTATTCTAACTAAAACACGAAAAAATAATATAGGAAGTTAGACAAGTTGCTAAAAATAGGTCTCAACACGGCGTTGCAAGTAATTCACAGTATGTTTCTAATAACAACAAAAAACGCTTTAAATGAGTGAATTGTCAGAACTGCTTGCGGTTATTCAACAAGCCGAACGGAGCGGTAGTCGTTTGAACATCTGAAAACAATAAAAATGTTTCGGGAAAGTTTTATTACGGTAAAGGGTACAGAATTATTAAGCAATTAGACCAGAGCCGGTCGTAAAAGAACCGGTGCGTTATCTATGTTCTCACTCATAGATTCTGTAACTTTGCATGAGTTATCTAAATTACTTTGGCTGCGAAGTAAGTTTTTTTTACCTATATACTATAAAATATATATATTAGTACGTAAATAATTCAATTGACTGTTTATTAATACAACTGTACTCGTTCCCTAAATGCTTTTTGTGGTTTTCTGTTCCAGAGTCAGATAAGCAAGCGCCATCTGTTGTTACTCACGGATCGCTACTGATAAGAATTCCTGAAATTGTTAGCTTATCAGTTGACGTCATTTGTACGAAGTTAAGGATTAAAAACAAAAGTATTTGTCATAGAATTTCTATATAATTGTCATTCTTAAAGTATAATTAGTTGAATTCTTTAAGTGATTTTGTGATTCAAATTTAGTTTCATTATAGCAATTCCAATATAAAAATGGTTTTATTAAAAAAGTTTGTAAAAACAGCTTTCTTCATTAAATTATTAAATGCTATATAAATTTAAATTCCATTTTTCCTAATAAGTTAACATCTGAGTCTCACGGAAATCAAGTTACATGTGTTATTTGCAAGCGATTCCTTGTTAAATAGCCTTAACAGATGGACTTCATTTTTATATTTTTAAACAATACTAAAATGTATTTAAATCATATATAATTTCTCCAATACTTTCCTTTATTTTAAGTAAGATAAGAAACTGAAAGTTATTGAAAATATTCACGATAAATTATAAGATAATTCCAATTATTAATTACCAAACACTAACGCCTAATATATCTATAATATTACAAATCTATATTTATCATTCTTAATATAAAGATTACTTATTTCAAATCTACTCTTGACCTTGCTTAGAGAGAGAAGACCAAATCAATTGTTCAGAAATTTCTATTCTAAGTAATTATTTAAAACTCTAAATATTTAAGATGAAATATCTCTTATAAAATATTAAATTAAATGTAAAAATTACGATTTATATTATATTATAGTAAATCGTTTATGAAACGCAATATAAAATGTCGTAATATTTAACGTGAACTCAGTGTTTTCAGACAGACGTAATGCATCGATTGCGTGCACCTAACAGTCCTATAATAAAACATTAAAAGCTCCGATTATGTTACGAATCGAAATACTTATTTAGAATTTCAGTAAAAAAAACAAAAAAAAACAAAACTTGTCCAATGTTCGCAATCTCCGGTGAAAAGGGTTCGGGGAACTTAATTTTATTTTTCCGAGCTATTTCTAACTTTTCACTCCGTTCTTAATGAACTTGACTTGACTTCATAATACTGTTTGATATTTTTTTTGTTTGTTTGTTTGTTTGTACGTATTATATAATAGGAGATTTCTTTTTATGTTACAGAAATAACTTAAATTAAAATACGTAACACTTAAACATAATGTAGGGTATATTAAGTATTATTTGAAAAGTTAATGTTTGAATAATTTTTATTAGAACTATTATAAAAAACAAAGGGCTCGGGGCACTCGTAAATCGCGCGATAGAGTCATTAAGGCGGGGGCACAATAATTAAAAACAAATAAACTCTACACGGATTTTACGTTATCTGTCATCTTGATATATTTTTTTTTATATTCATGTTGATTTCTACATTTGTTTTTGTTAACTAGAAATTTTACAGTAATTTCATTGCTTGTTAGGTATTAGGGAATGATTTATAAAATACGTTTCACGGGAATTATTTTTGAAGATTAATACTTGAAAGGAATTAAAAATATTTTGTTTACTTAAGTTGTTTATTGATTTATTTTATTATATATACCGATGTATGGTATTGAATTGAAATTTTTATAGGTATAGATTTTTATTAGGTTATAGTTTTCCTAATTACATAAAATTGTGTTCTATTGGGATCTAGTGCTTTTGTTATAACTGAAAACAATTATATAACAATTTTATATATTGTAAAGTTGTGAAATAACTTTTTTAATTTCACTATAATGAACGAAATTCTTTGTTATCATAGAAGTTAGTTTAGTTTTAACTTTACATTAATATCTAGGTATCACAGGATTTAAAGTGAAGATGAGATGGAACTCAAGCAATTCTTTCCGTGGTGAGTATTTGTTCAAATTATACCTGAAGTGTCCTCAAGTTTGAGAGACGCGCCGGCGCCTCGGCTGACAATGTTAAATCAATATTTCTTCTGACCCTCCATACTACAGTTAAAACAATAACTTCAAACTATTCTATTATAATGAGATATGTATATGTTATAAATAGTAATATTCTATTAACACGACTTCTTCTACCTGGGAATTTCCCAGCTTTAGCCAGGATCTGTCTTACGTGTCGTGAATAGTTTTGGCTAATTGTTTTTACGACCGGCCGCCTGCCTGACATCAACCCTCTATGGGAATGCATTAATCAGTGATGACTAAATACTTTTAGAAAGTACATATGACTCGGAAAAATCACATTGGTACTTGCCCGGGCCAGGATCGAACTCGCGCCCTCGTGCATGAGAGGCGGGACTTTTAACCACTAGGCCACCACTGACTCAATATTCTATTAACACGACCACCATTAATAACTACTGTATTATAATTTCGTAAGATCCAATAACAAATTATTGATACATTATAATAGCCATACATGGAGATTACATACAATGACAAGCAATATTTTTCTTCTCAATTATCCGCCTGATAGATGCTAGTGATGGATACAATTTTGATTGTGGATTTTTTTTTATAATTGCAACTGATATATACGATTGTATAAAAATGTTTATACTTGTAAAAAATTCATAGTACATTATAATACATTTAACCCAAGGTTGTATCTTGTAAATCTTGACACCATATATGGCTGGTAATGCCGATTGCGGAGTATTGCGAAATCACATATCAAAAAATGATTTTTAACCAACGGTTTGTATAACGGTCCGCTTCAATGGTATTCTACACATCACTATCTACTTTAATATAGAAATAATAAATATGGACTTCAAACAAAATCGTACCTTCCCTGTTATGATATAGAATAGAATTTGGCTTTTAACTCAAATGTACGACTTGCAAGTTTGAAATGGCTGCTAGTAAATAAACAGTTGATACCGACAACACATCATTACATCCAGAGATGAAGACTTGGTGAATTTGAATCTTATGATTTTTTACTGAGAGTTTAAAATTCGATGGCTATTTTGCAGTGTATTTCTTATCGCAGTAGGTTAGTGGGTGCAAGAGGAGTCGGGTCAAACGGTTAGCAAACATTGTTTGGATTCGTTTGCCAGCTGTTAGTGGCAACAGTGAAAATGATTGTAAAGCTCTGCTTACTTTGTTTATCATGCTTGGTGCAAAGCATGTCAGGAGTAGTACTCAAAGATGAAATCAGATTTAATTCCATTTTATACTATGGATGCTATTGCCTTACTGTGATCGTCTTAGTGTGTGAATCATCATTAAGAATTTATAATATGTACCTTATTAACATAAACGTAATATTCTCACACTTTATTTCAAAAACTGCTAAAAGACCTTAATTGAAAATACGACGTAAATGCTTTGTAGACATTATTCGGTAGCATCTTCGTCAAACCTAAATGCGATCTTCCATCAATCAAACACACATAAAAACTCTTTGTCGGAACAATTCAGTAATTGATGGCGGCTCACCAAAAAAAAAAACAAAAGTGGAAATTATAACCGGAATAAATTCCCAGATCATTCTGTTTAGTGCAAAATTATAGAGTTTTAAACGGCCCGTTTGGATGATTTGTACATGTTTAATGGCCGGGTATTACGGTGGCGTGTTACAGGACGGAACGGAATGGAACACTGCGCAATCTATTAGCTGAACAAAAAAACTGAGCTTAATTTCACACCTGTTTACATTTAATTTCATAATGATGCGGGAGTGATTTTTGCACGCGCCTCCTCGCCAGCAATGATACGTAAGAGAATATCCGCGCTCGTTACTCCTGTAATCATATCATTATGTTCTACTTGGCAGATAAAATTGAATTATCCATCCTTATAACTAGCAACTAAAACAACTACTTGGCTATTTAAAATAATTTTGTATGGATTGTATTAGTGATAAGTACTATCATGAGGTATCTGGTGGTCGTTCGACACCCAATCCGATGACGTCACGGTATGGGTGCCTGCCGACACGTCGCCGTCACGCTCCACAAACCGCGAGGCTATAGCCTTGAGCCCACCGCGCAGAACAGAGCCTTTACCGGCCTTACTCCAATCAACTGATGACAAATAGATGCGTCTTCCGTATTTAAGACCTTACTTATATGAAAGCAGATCTATATTTGATATGTATTTTGAGAAATGCTTTGAAAATGATGTTTAAATTTTCCAAATCTCGCTAGGTAGGTAGCGAGAACTAAGACAAAAAGGGTCGTAAAAATCCTAAACAGTTTCATAAACGTCCCGCAGGCATGGCTAATCAGGTGATGGGAGACAATAGCGCGAAAGCCTCATAAAACTACAGGGCCCGTAAAGCCCTGTCCAAAATATTTACGATGCGTGACAAATGACGTATCTTTGTGTTCGAAGGATTGTCGCGGTAATTCGCCGTGCTTGATCAACGTGCTGAGACCATCATGTCTTTAAACTGAACGACGCTCTGAACGACTAAATAAGATCACGACGTAACAAAAATTGTCTTTCTAGTGAAATAGATAGATATATGAGTGCAATATTTAAAACTTACAGCTTTCTCTACTTAATAATACATACTTTTGTTTTAGTTCCAGTTCCAGTTTGCCTCCAAATATTTAAAGGGACAGATAAATTAATACCTACTTACTATGAAAATTATATAATTATTACAATAAGATAATTTGTAATCAATATTGTTACAATATTATTTCACAAAATAAAGGTCTGTATAATATGCAATAAATTCCCTAGTTATGAAAAAAATGGCAATAAAGTATCAGATAGTTAAAATTATTTCTTATAAAAGCATTCTTCTTTTTGTTTCAAACAGGTCTGTAATGACATTACCTGGAACCCGACAGGTGGTCATGGCTGTGAATTTGATAACTTAATTCTTTCTCTTCTCCCTGGTCTAATTCTCTGTTGGATTAGTACAAACTTTTTAAAGAAAAAATCTAATGAAAATAATATCAGTTTTATTAAAAAATATTATGATTCCGTGAAAACTCGAACTGTGAGCGTATTACATCTGAAAAGTAAGAGGCGATAGCACGTGCCCTCGCACAAAACGTTTATGATATTTAAGAGCAGTCTCACATAGGCCGTGGGCGATCGAACGGAACAAAAAAAAAACTCACGCATTGTCGTTTTACTTCGAATCGTTAGTTATAAAGCTGATGGACGATGGCCGATGACTGTGAAAGTTCACACAACAATTTAAAATTTTAACACCCTGCCACCGACGCCAGATTCTCATTAACTTGGAAGTTGGACGTACCGTCGTATTGCTAACTGTTTTACTGGTTGGATTTATTCATATTTATAACATTTATTTACGATTCCATACATGAAAGGATATATATAAATTCCATAGCATACCAGCAATTAATGTGTAAGAAGACGGTTTTTTATTTAAACCAACATTTCGTAAACGGCAATTTTCATTCTACATTCATCGGACAAAAAAACGACCTCCATCTCGAATGTCATTTGCACGGCGTGCCGTTGAAAAAGCAATTATTTCAATATCAGAGACGCAGTCACCCGCAAGCAAAAAGCAAATCCAGCACGCGCGCCGTGACTGACAACACTTAAGAAAGTTTTGAGACATCGGAAGGACATGTCATTGTACCCGAGCAGAGATGCTTATATTAACAACATGTCACACAAAACTATTGTATATGTAATCATTGAATAATGTAATAAACAATAAATCTTACTATTATATGACAGACAACTAATAATATCCTAAGTCTCTATATCTAAAAAAGTTTGTGTTTGAAATGTAATACTTCAAAATTGCCCATCAACAAAACTCAAAAATAAACGTTAACTAGTTTTAAACATAAATAATATTTTAATGTTAGTTACGAAGCATTTATAAGCTAAAGGTGAGGTAATTTGATCCTCAGTCACTGTTTTCCACTCTATTGCTTATTATATAATACAATACAATATGCTTCCTCAAATCAATTAGGTTTTTATTACACAAAAACACCTTTACAAGGTTGGTTTTTGCAATTTTCTATCGAACAATTCGTAATTATTAACTGAACGAGTATATTTCAACGAACGAATGCACTTTTATGAGAGAATCTACGGATCGTATCATTGTTTTATCACTGCTTGGCGGATACTTCAAACAACGGTACCATATGACACCTTGAGATCCAGGTACCATATGTATAACCACATCTAAGAAGCATATTACCCATTATACAAAACGCTGCACTTCAAAATTCTTTATACATTTACGCGTTAATATCTAAAAAAAGTGCTCTAAAGCGATATGAAATACTTTCACCAATATTTATTTAATACACAGAAACTGTTACACTATACCTACGACTCACTGTGGACAGCATCTGACACAGCGGAGTTATAAGAACGAGATGCATTTAGAACTAGTACATTTATAAGTGATGAAGTCGATAATTCAGGTCTCTTTCAGTTAAGTGACAAACATTTGTGAGTGTCACTCGAATGACAATGCAAAAGTCGAGAGCGGAACCACTACTATATGTTTTCGAATTTAAAACTAGAAAACAAAGAGTAACAAATATTATTGACATAGCTATATTATCAATTACTTTTTATAAGACCACAAACACCCTTGGCACCGTTTCTAAACTAAATCACGTCCGCAAATACTCTGCGTAATATTCTCATCTATAATAATAGAACAAAATATAATTTATTACATCAAATTAAATAAAATCAGCAACACTTATTACTTATATAATAATAATAAACAAATGATATTTCGAATGTTACATATATAATATTAAAAACAATATATTTGCTTCATATAAAGTTATTTAAAGTAATATTGAAGTCTATTTAACTTTATTTGAGCTTTATAAGCAACGAGGAAGCAATGCATACATATATTCCTTTGATCACCTAAGGCAATCAATATAATGATTATTATAATACTGTTACCTAACGATTTGTGGTAAGACGAAAGAGGCTGTACTAACGGTAGATCGTTCCTCCGTCCCCTACTATCAAACGTTTCTTACTTATACGTAATTTATGGTTTGAAATTAGTATTTGATATATGTTAATTATAACTTCTTCTTCTTATGGCAATTTCCCAGCTTAAGCCAGGGTCTGCCTGTATTAGTTATAACTATAGAGTCTAAATAATATTGTTATATCTATTTTCTTTTTTTTTGATTTCTCGTCGTATCTTGGCTTGTACTTGGCTTTATACCTGATAAACTGTTTCAGAGTTAATAGATATTGTAATCCAAATAATTGACCTGTTAGTTGTACTTTAGAGGCTACAGTATTTGTTACACAAAAATAAGCTTATAATATATATGTATATATAGGTAATAACAACTGTAACATAAAATGTAGGTTAGACATTATTTTCATAAAGCTATGTTCATCAAGTGTGTTCACAAGCTGTCAACGTCTAACTTGTAAATTATGTTCTAGAAAGTACGTTGACATTTCATACACGCGTTCTAAAATTGTCTTTTAAAATAATATTTATGACCAGCCATTTAAATGTCGCAGATGACAAATAATAATGTTTGTATGCAAAAACGATTAGCTAGTTAACTGTTAGCCCTGTATAATAAGAAAAGATTTTACAAATGATTGATTCTGAAAGAAATCATAACATATATGTATATAATTTTTTAACTTCTAGAAGCAATGCTTAAATAAAAATCTTTAAACTTATAAATTATGTTTCACTGTAATTAAAATCAAAACATTTTCCATATAAATACATAAAATCCTGCTTATTAATAAATTTCTTTGCTAACTCAACATGATGCATGAGTGTAGCATTTCATAAAACGCCTGGTAGGGTACCTCAATAAAGTTCTTGTGCATATAACATTCACTGTCACCTACGGAAGAGAAACCGTCATGAGACGTCGAACGCATGAAATATGATAAATGTTAAGCATCAAAACTCAACCTATAAACGATGATGTAAATATGCAAGAAGAGCTCTTTATATGCTAGTAATCATGACATTGTTTTTAAGGATTTTTACTTTATGGAACAGGAAAATTATACCATAATAAGATATACTCTAATATAGAATCACGGTCTTAGAGAAAAGAAACTAAAGTCATTATTACTTTACTAAGCGTGATCTCTTATATATTCCAAAATTATCAAGCACAAACATAGTACTTAGAAATTTATTAAATATTATAAAAGATCTTAAATAATTATAAAATATTTGGAGATATTTTTTTTTAACTTAAGGACAATAACGGAATTCTTTCATAAAAACAGTTTCTTTTAGATATAAAATAAATAAAAAAATTGCTATTATCAGAATATTAAATAACAATAATACGTATAAAGCAAGCTGTTCTTATAGTTGATTTTGTTATCTCATACATAGTATAATGTTATCTCATCCAGGGGTCATATATCTAGTGTGGTGCCAATCAATCGCGTGCCCATTGCTGGTCTGACGGGGTTAGCTTGGCGATTCCTTAATTGCCTGACGTTTTGGTGTCACATTCCGCTCACCTAATAGCTACTTAAACCATTCGAGCTCGTGCCTATTGCCAAACATAAAATGGCAAATATGATACATTTAAATGAAATCATGAATTAGTTAAGTTACTCCACAATTGCCGCACACATTTTATATAGGTGTAAGAGTTCGACGAGATTAGATATTTTTAAATGATCGCAAAATATTTAAAGTGAACATCTCATACGATGAAAGTTATTCGCGATATTAAAAAAGTCATCATGATTAAATAATTCGAGCAACGTGATCGTATGTGTTTCAAGTTTATAACCGCTAATAGCGACCTACGAGCGATCATAATCACTTCAACGTATGTGTTATTTTTTTATTATTTTATTAAGCAATAACTTAAGTGTTATAAACTACACATTAAGTGAATCTAAATGTTTATTTTAAGCCTGGCTGGATAGCTGTTAAAGAGGGTTCTTAATAAATAACGTCAAAATCTATAAAACGTGTTTCAAAATAAAATTATTTTGAAAAGGGTATCTCATTCACACATTAGTGACGCTACTCGCCGCCCGATGGTAATTATTATAAAGTTACGTCCATATTCTGGGTGCCTTTATTTATTTTTTTGTGTCGTTTAAATTTGGGTCGTGAACGTTAAGTAGTATTTATGCGATCCCCAGCGGCGCGTCGCGGAGGCGGTTTCGCTAAGGAACTCGGTAGTTTTCAAAAAGTACATTTTCTTTTTATTAAAACGGACGAGCAAATTATCAAAACATATTCAATTTTCATTCATACATATATCATTCTCTTTGTGTATTTTTTTACTAACCAGATATATAGCATTTTACAAATCATTAATATTTTAATATAAGAATGTTTGTTACGTTTGAGTTTAAACTTGATTAGCTGTCATTTATTTAATGAGCATTAAATAAATTATGAGCCTCCAATAAATTTAGCTAAGCTGTATATAAATCATAAACAGCGCTAGTAAACGATCATATAGTTAAATATAAACATTATTTTACATGCCTTTGTAGAGTTAAACGCTATAAGATTCTCTTGGTTCTGAAATAAATCCTTCTTGGACACTTCGGAGCGGATCGCCAAAGCTAATTCTGTTGTGATTAATGCTTCTTGCACATTTCCACTCCAACTCTGAAAAGCAAACTTTACATGCATCTTCGAAAACCTTTCTATTCTGAAATCGACCTTAAAATAATACAATAAAGTTAATAATATAAATATATATCGCTGTGGGAATCATTATAATTTTGTAATTTATAATACGATCGACTTAAAAGTGACTCGCTACCGCCGGTTCGCGTTTCTCACGCAACTACTAACAATTAAATAAGTCCATGTTATATTATTAAAACACTGATTGGTGATGATTATTCATTTTAACTATACATCATCTTTGACGGCTCTGGCGACTTAATTTTAATGCAATTTAAATTATATGTATATTGATATAGATTTATGATATGGAATAACGAAATGAGCTCTCAGTAACATATGCAAGGCAAGTAATAAGAATTTTCACAGAATTTTATGTATGAAATTCCTTTTCAAAAACCCCGCTTATAATTCAGCGTAACCTTCACAAAGTAACCTTATCATTATAAGTGATAAGTGCATACTAAAAGGGACATTTTCACATCTAATAAGTGCATGTCGTACATTTCATTTCCTAAATTGCAAGCTTAAGTTTGCGTGTTCAAGAACCACAGACTAATTCGGAACAGTTGTCGATTTATAAGTACCCACCTAATTGTAAATTATACACTGTTACTCCAAGCCTAATGAGACTGCGGAATAGGATGACGTGCAAAGACGTTTTTTGCGAAACATACGAAGATTTACATTTTTAAATGATAAATACATATACAATAAAATATACCTTAAACCTTTATAATAAGGTCGAGAAAATAGATTGTTAATTTCAGTTCAAATAGTATTCCTTCATGATAATCGCGTCACAATTTCCTTAGAACAATTTATCATTTAATTCAGCCATCGAGATCACAAGTGTTGTTAGCACAGAGAAATATAATTACAGCATCAGTTATTATGATACTTAATCGATTATAGATAAATTTCAAATCGATTATCATGTTATCAATCACTCAATCTCGATTCTTATCGATGTATTAGTAAACTTCGATATACATAATATTAGAAAATATATTTTTTTCAAATCGTTAGGGCGGTACTAATGAATCATTCGCATGACCGCTTTACGTCTGCCTAATTTATTTTGTATATATATATTTTTTACATTTATCGGGACACGTTTAAGTGTAATATGTCAACACGCGTCAGGATGTATTCGGTAATAGCTTTAGTAATTATTGAAAGCAAATGACTTCTTCCATTCTTACAGTATTTGGCCCAGTTCACACGCTAGCTGTAATGGTCACCAAGCTTTTGTATTATTGTAGACAAAATCAAGAACCAAAAACCAAGATTTATTCTGTCATTCAGATTTATTTCTCAATATTTTTAGTTGTGTACACAGAACTTTAGAACTTTGAGAATTCTTTGACATAAAATATTTTTTGTACAAAATTTATAATGAGATCTAAGACATAATTTACTATAATATTGGCTTTTATCTGAATGGAAAGAATATCAAATAAAAACAACTATGTAGTTTAGACCATTTGATAGGAAAATTGATTTCCCCAATGATTTGTAACTAGTTTATAAACGGAACAAAAAATATTTAAAATGTACGTAAAGGAAACATTTTGATTCTTTAAAAACAATAAGGTATGGTTTAATTAAGTGGCTGTAATTTCAGTGTTTCACTTATCGACCACCCTTGATAGTAACATCCAACCGAGCCTCACTAATATACCATTCATAATTTTATAATTACACGCATCCATTCATACATAACGGTCAAATTTATCCTAAAAAAAACGCTAATTTCGCTGTGATATTTACAATTATTTATTAAACAAATTTCTACTCTATGTATTTTATTTTAAGCGTAAAATAGAATGACAATGAGTGTACATTGCAAACGATTTGTCCAACAATAAGTGAATCCACTACCTGGCAGTACCTTCCTAGAAGTTTGTAATCCTGTTCTACGGAATAGCGATCGCAAAAGATAAATTGATAATTTTTAAATAGATTTAGGGTTGGCAGTTTATATACTTTCTTATTATATTTTAAATTATATAAAATATACACAATTTTTGTGTATATTAATTTGAAATATACCTTTACTTTTATTTATTATTTTATTATATATAAGTAGTATGAATATTTGTTCTTACTTGTTCTATATGTGTTCAAAAGAGACAAACAACTTAAACAATTTGCATATTAAATACTTTAACATACATATGTAGGTATGTATGTATGTGAGTGGCAGCCCTGCCAGACACCTGGTCGTTGTGAGCGATCACTAATATCATGGTGAGCGGGCGTCACAAAGTCTGCCGAAAGCTGGAACCCGCCGGAAAGGATTACGCACAGTTTTTGCAGATTAAACAAAACAAGGTCTATTTACCTGAACGGTTATGCACGAGGAGTTTGCTGTTTGTATATCATAGCTGGCAAATAGAATTATAATATACAGGGTGACTGGTGAATTACTATCAATATTTAAGGAGCATACTCGGTACATGATTCTCATTCGAATCATGTAAAAAAAGTAGGTACTTAATTTTTGACCAAATTTCCGTATAAATAAATAAAGTGTGTACACGTTCCAAGTGTTCCTAGTGTGGACGCGTGCGGCGGCGTGCTGATACAACAACACGCCGCCGCACGCGTATGTGTGAGTGTGTGTGTATACCTAATCTGTAGGGTGTTCATACGATGCGTAATTAATTACACAACTTTTGGTTAACTTTACTTAGAAGTTTATTAATATTTATGTTATATTAATTTTTATTTCGTCATATATGATCGTCAAATATCACGTCCTCAAATATCGATAGTAATTCACCAGTCACCCTGTATAATACTAATTTTTACAATCAATTATCACCAAACCAATAAATTACATCATTGTCTTACAAACAATAAATGTATTTTAACTCCACCACATAGTTATACAAATTACAAACATTCGTTGAAGTCTTTTGTTTTATCTTGACATAAAATATTTTTGGTCACATTAAACTTGAGATTATATTTTTCTTTCAATACGAGACATATATTTTTTATAATTCAAATAAAACACGATAGTAACCAATTACTTCTCTCGTACTGTTTATCCGAGCTTACTCATCTTAGCGTTTAATTCACACCATCATCTTAGTGTTCGAAGTAACATTGACCTGGTCATACCTCAGGGTATAAGCGAACAAATAATCAAGTTATTGGTATAATTTTAATATCACATAAATATAGAATTCATATAGAAAGTTTACGTTTATGAATAAAATAAAAAAAAATTTTCTATTGAATTAAATGTAGGTAGTACTTTAGTTTTTCTATTGAAATATTATATTTATTACGTTTTTTGTTTATTTTGATCTTCAATTATATGACGTATTTTTGTTTATACTCGTATTTTTCTGATCACAACTCGCTGTGTCTCACATCTTGTACGTTATATGACCGCTTGTGTTGTTCCTATAGACCGATGTCGAACGTCGGCTCTCATCAAAGACGTGTCTCGACGCGTCCGCGGTGACTCGGCGTTTCGTTGGATGTTAAATTTTTCCTGTACCTTCCAACGAACCCTTAGTGTTTTTATTACAATCAACAGACATGAAATCATAACAAAATTATTCTTAAAAATTTCGACGGTCCCTTTAACGCTGGACGGGAAGGAATCATTTTTTTTTTGATCTATTTAATAGTTCTAGTCTTCATCATATACTTCACCTCTAATTGAACCCCTTTCATACAAAACATGTAATTTTATTACATATAATTAATCGACCCGCGGTCCTGTATTCCCTCTACCTGATCTCAATCACATCCGTTCGGATGTCCTAACATAATAATTGTGAACTTCCTACCGTTAGTACCGAACTACATAAAAAATGAATATCTCTAATCTCGCAGACAGAATCTCGAACGGGTTTAACCTGAGCGGTGGTTTCCGTTCCTTTCAAATGCGAAGTACTCAGTATTTATCTTGATATTGAGTCGGTCTAATTCCTAGCAAACACCTGACAGATATTGCCATAACCAGACTAGAATTATGATTTATATTTTATGAAGAAATCTTACGTGACTGTTACCTGGCACAAATTTGCTAAAGGCAACTTAATGCTCCACCTACTGATAGCTAGATATAATCAAAATGTTCAACATTGGTCAAAGTGGGGATGTTTGGTACTTATTCACACCAATACAATCAAACAAAACTTTTTTGAGAAGTTGATACGTTTCAGTCTATGACTTATAGTAAATTTATATTATTTTTCTTTTCACATTTCCCAACAAACCCAGAAAATACAGCTGCTATACCTAAATTTTGTAACCAACCAGTAACACAAATCATTCAAAATATGTATAATAAGTACATAAGTGTATATGGACCACCATTTTACATAAACGCGGAGCATGCACGTGCAAACGGTGTAGACTTTCTAGTAACTTAACCCCGCCTCGGTCTCACGGCTGAGCAAAAAACTGGGTAACTGAACACCGACGGGGGGTTAGCGTGGAGGGGAGACTCATGTGGATATATATACTGTATATACAATAACATTTATATGTACTTACATATATATAGTTCTATATACAGACGTGGCAATATTATTGTATGTTTCAGTTATAGGTCTAGGTACGTTGAGTATTAAAGTAGATAAAATTAAAAGTAGTAGTACATAAATAATAGTTTAAATGTAGTTTGAAATATACATTATATAATTAATTTACAGGTTATGTTTAAACACATTTATATAAACAATTAAATAGAACTATATCATGGCCAATAGTAAGTAGATTTTTAAATTAAATAAATTAAAAAAATCATAACCAGAACGGTAAAATAGTCTAGCTAGTGTAAACATAATTGCTTTAATATCGAAGACAACTCGCTCGCGACCATTTAAACATAAACAAACAATCAAACCAATAAACAGTATACCTTGACCTCAACTAACCAACAAAAATACCTCAAAGAAGGGTAAACGAACTAAACATCAAAGCTCTCGATAAAAGGTTGCATTATAAAGAGCTATCGTGGATTGTGTACTCGTGGCCTGGCTTTGTTACACGGCGCCTGCTATTATATACTGACAATACAACTTGTAAGAAATGTTTTTTAGGCATCCATTCATAACTGTTAGATGCGTTTTGTGACAGAAATACAGAACCAACCTGTTGCTGTACAGAATGCTCGATGAATTGAATACAATATTATTTGATACAATTATACAACAAAAACGATGCGTCCGTTAACTTCAATAGCTCAATACTACTCCGTAGTGTATATTGAATCACTTCTCCTTGATTCATATGTATAGTAAATATTTTAAACGATGTTATATAATTATCATTGCTCGTACATATTTCATTGCGTAAAAACGTATTGGTTTTTTACAGGTTCGTTTACAATACTTCAATATTTTTATAACCAGCATTCCAATATCCAAAGCAATATAGCAAGTAATATTCCAATAACATCCGCTAAATTTTCTTTTGTTTCGATGTAGCCATCCAATAACAAGGGAAACCTTAATATTCTATCGACATTTTATATTTACAGGCTCGCTATATTCAAAATAAAACACGAATAACATAGCTTGGGTGATTTCATTTCTTTTAAAACGTTCGTAAAAGATTCATAATTGAAAAAATATATATATAATTCCAAAATTAAAACAAAATCATTAATAATCATCTCTCTACACACACATGGACATTTTAGTATGTAAGTGATATTATATAAGTGTATGTGTATGTGTGTGTTATGTTATGTGTGTGCGTGCTCACGCATGCGCTCTAAGGAAGCTGCGCGTGAGATCCGCGTCGCAGCTGCGGCGGCCAGGTGTGCGGACCCCTCTCTACCCGCCGCTGTACTGTCAACGACAAAATACTTTCACACACTGTGATTTAGTATAAACTTAAGAATATTTTTACTACACATATCACTAAATAAAACTCTTGTTTAAGCGCAGTTATCCTGTAATAATATAATCAGTGTCATTCCAATACATATATACAGACATGAAATTATTTCATCATTTCTTTTAATTATTTATATGAAAGCATTTAAATTCATTCCTATGAAACGATTTTCCTCTTTAAATATCAACAAAAATTCAAAAATAAATGTACAAATTAAATAAAGGCATATGTAATATAGACCACGTAGAATATTTGAAAGCGACTGTACCCAACTACCCCAACTAAATCTGTGAATGCTTGCACAAACCCGCTTCCATGACATAAACAGTCACTCAAGTATCCCATTTATTGATGCCAGCGTACGTACAAATAAACAGCGTACTTTATGGCCAGCCCTCATGGGGCCGGTCCCCGCGAGTAATTATCCTTCATGTTTTTATATCAGATTTTTAGTGTATTATTATTTACGGTGTGGACTTTAGTGTGTTGGAATTATTTTGATCATAATCTTTAGAATATGATAATACACTTGTTTCATGAGGTTTATGTCATTAAAAATATGTTGTTCAGTTAATTAATGAACGCGGTGCTAATATACCTTTTATTAAAAAATATCGAAATAATTGTCGACTGTAATTTAGAAGTACATGATAGTTATTTGCTCCTAATTATTTTTATTTTCTATTCTTAATAAATGTTATTTTATAATTCATATAAAAATTGATATTGAGAGTTTTGAAATATAAAGTTTTAACTCGGTTTTGTTATAGCATTTGGCAATAAATTAAGTTAAATTTTTTTAAATAAATCAATTTGACTTTTCACTAATATAACTCAAGAATAGTCGTTAATGTAAAATGAAGTCACTACCTTAAAGAAATTTGAACTTAATTAATAATTATATTAATTTACTTAACTATATATTTTAATAACGTAATATAGAAAGATAAAGGCATAATATTTACATAAAAAAGTGGTTATCTTACGAGATAATTTTCTTTCAAATATCACAATGTAAATTTGTTTCAAACAATGTGTCGAGATATTTTCAAGCAAACGTTCTTTTTGCTTACACCAAAAGCTTCATTATGACTTGACTAATATGAACATTTCACAAAGTCTTTACACTTATATGAAAAAATATCAGAATTATAGACAATTCCTAGAATTTCAGACCAATAGAATAAAAAATTAAACATATTTTATTTTTGCAACATCTGAAATTATCGCAAGTTGACCTTGCTCTTATTTTTTAAGATTATAACAGGGACAAATAGGCATTTTTTTTTACAGTAACCGACTTTCAACGTTTTGCCTGAATGAATCGATATATCTCATAAATCCATACACACACATATTATATATCTATAAATCATCAACTACAAAAGAAATGTGTTAAAGAAGATTTAAAGAGAAATTGCTTTTTAAAATATTTTTTAATTTTGTCTGTTTTTGTCAAAGATTTTATTTTAAAATATCTACCTTGCCTAAAAGAAGGAAGGCAATATAAATTCTATTATTTAGTTACATACCAATCAGACCTTATTAATTTAGTCTTAAAGTTTACCTACATACGATAAAACATCGTCAATTAATTTTGAATTATCAAGGAAAATTGTATACCTATCGATCTCATCATTGGTCTATCAAAAAGAGTTTCCCAAAGTCATAAATATACGAATGCATTAAAACAGTGTAAATACGAAAGTGTCGAGTGAGAGACTTCTTAATATGTAAAGCGATTAGGAGCGTGCGAGTTGGCCACACATACTTGTATCTTTTGGACATTAGAAGACGATTCATTCACACGACATTGAAGTCTTCGACTCGATACCTAATTGTATGTAATCTTCGATTTAAATATGTAATATTAGTGTTTTTGTTGAACATTTAAAACGCCTATACAAATCAAAGATATGTTTAAAATAATATAAAGTCAAATTAAAACTTGAACATTTAGAAACGATTCGTTTTAATTGTTTTTTTTTTAGTTGAATAAATAACCAAAATTATTCCTACAGTTATGTTATCTATATATATAATAATCTAAGCATATATCTGTATTTAGTCGATTCGATATATCGTATAGTATAAATGACTCGGTGAAGGTAGAGCACGGCCTGCGCGGGCGCACGGCGATTTGTCGCGTTTCACGCCGCGGCGTCGGGTCACGGTCCGGGGTCACGCTAATGTCACGCACTTTCCAACCCATCTCACGACACTCGCTAATATCGCACATTTTTGACACTGATTGTGACTGAAGAGCTACTAAACGATCCGAGCCAGTACAGACATCAGACTTTCTACAGAGATATATTTTGGCCTAAATCTTCACAGAGATATATTTTGGCCCAAATCTTCGCTTCACATTTAAGTTAATATTAGTGATTTAAAATCGATATTACTAACCAATAGTGGGTCTATACAGTAACAGCAATTCGACATTTTTGTATACTATATTTGTTTGTGAACTAATATACCTAATATGGTAAAAATAAATCACTACGGATCTAGTTTATACGAAATTCATTTTATTTTCTGTATAATATATATTTTATTACTTCTAAGAGTAAATAATCTGGATTATTAGACCAACTTAATTAAAAGAAAATGATATTTTCGTATTCTTTTATATAAAACCAAATAGCTCAAGATTTCTTAAATTAAAAATTAAATCTTCTGCTTCCTTCGTTCTACTAGACTAACCAGTAGTAAATAATTAGTTCTAAAATTATTTTTTTAATATAAATAAATTGTATAAAATTAGCCTAACTTAAAAATATAAATAACGTAAATAGATCCGACTGACCAAATCTGTCACGTCTATGCTCTATTTAATACACATAAAACACAAGATTATATACATATAACACACGACCAACCTAGTGATTCCGTTTTTCCACAGCTGAGTGAGAACGCGCCTGACTTCCGTTTCCGGAGCCGCGCCCGCGCAGCATCCGCGACCACCAGACCGACGCGATCAATACCTGTCACTTATATATATGTATAACTATGCATTTCGTTATTTTATACAGCCAACCAATATTAGCTATTGCATATATACCCAAAATAACAATTATTTTTTGAACTATTTCCTCATGTTTACACTTTCATCATATCCCAATTGATTAGTCATCTTTAATATAGCAGTTCTTTAACGATGGTTTCACTTGGTTCGCAATGAAAGCAAAATAATGTATAGCAAATTATTTTCTAACAATTTTTATGGCAAATTGCAGCGGAGTGCAGTAAGATGGGACGTGGAGTGACAGGCGTCGGAAGCTTGCCCATTAGCCCGTCCGCTTTACGCTTCCGACGCAAGGAAACAATGTCTCGTCACTGGCATTGCATATGTAGGAACAACACTCACATAACATAATATGGACATAATATTACGTAAGAATATTGAGAGCAAAACCATACACTTTTAATATGACGCTAAAAATAGTACTGCGAATTACCAATCACTTAACTAGTTGAAGTTTTTGATTCAAGTTTGTCACACAAATTATAATAATGTCGTTGTAACTACGAGTAGGTTTTACGGATAGCTTAATGAATAGTACTTATTGTTGCTTACGACTTTGTTCTCGTGGACTTCGGATTTAGACAGTAAGATAAACGTATAAATTATGGTAAAACAGTAAATATGGTAACCAGAAGCAACATGTATAATCACGAGTCACGTAACTCTATACACATTTTACAACTGTTATAGCCTGAACCTCCTCTGCCGAAGATGAGATTTATGGTTACCCTACTTAGAAGTTCGTTCTGTTATCATTAAGATAAACTGTTGACATCTAGGTGCTCTGTTGTTCAAAAATAGAAGATGTGCCTCATTATATTAAATCCCAATAAATATCCGTTATAAGCAAGTTGTACAATATTTCCTTACATTTTACTTTATATGTATGTAGATTATTTGAAATCGATAACACTGTTTTCACATGATCATTATTCTATTAAAAATTATACCATATCAAGTTAAATATATCGGTAAGTTACATGCTCTACTCACATATTCAAATCGAACCTAGTAAGTTTAATACTCAAAACATCAATCACCATCGTCTTGCAGCAAAAAAAAACTGTATTTCGAAATGAGACAAACTTTCACGTTGATAATTTAGTATATTGATGCTTTGTGCATTATAATAATATTTACAAATGATTACATTGATACAATGTCTTAATGTAAGTTCGCTGAAAGAGTCCGTAATAAACGCGGAGACGTTGATAAACGATGTTACTTGAATTAGTTATAACACCCGTTATAGAAAGTACATATTAAACGTAAGCGCACACGTGATTCTAATGCGTTTGTAGTGACGATCGGAAACTATATGAATAATCTCAAATAGTTATTAAAGGTTTACTTCATATATTTTTAGCAGTTAATGATGTAGGAACAATAGCCATGATTGATAAAATATGTACAGTCTATAAACATAATTAATATTGAAAGTGTTTTTAAGGCCTAGCACCAAATGGAAGACCAGAAGGAGTAGGATATAATAACGTATTAGAAAGGAATTAAAAGAAGAGTAAGACTGATGAAACTTGAAAACTATTACAGCTGTATTACGAGAGGTAAATCATATTTAAGGAAAATAGAAAATCTCTCTTAATCTCTTAACAAAAAAACAAATTTTTCAATAATTTGTTCCTATTATAATTAGACTGGGTAGACAAACACATGTGTTGATATCGAGGAATCTCAAGCAGCGAGCCATTCAACATCAAGTTTGTGAATAAACAAACAAAGATTTTGTGTGGATTCATAACATATATGTACTCGTAATTATATGTAGACCAATATAGGTGCTAAGCTCAGGGATCTCATGCAATGCGAGCCACTCAACATCAAGTTTGTCGATAGAAGATTTAGCTTCTTTATCAATTTATAACATATATACCATAATGTGTACGTAACCAGGCTACTATCAGTATCTACTGGTAAGTAGTAAGAGGATAGTTGAGTAAGAGGATAGTAGGGCACGCGCAGCCGCACGCATCCTGCGAGATGAGACGCGCCTTCCTGCGAAGCGCGGTTGCACGCGTCGTCGAGCGCAACCGGGGAGGTTGGGGACAAATGGACTACCACACGAGGTTGTTAAATGCAAGTTATTAACATATGAATTGACGTAAGCATTTGTTCCAGTTTCACAAATATATTATATTTAGAATATGAGCATTCTTATCAAACTATTGACAAACAGGGATTGACAAATAATAATATAGATTAAGTAAAATCATACATTTCAACTTAGCTCGCACATCAAAAAGTTTTACACAAAAAAAACCCTCATGCTTACTGTCACATTACATTCGTAGCTTAATGTACCACAGAAATCGAAATTAGTTTCGATTTTGAAGATTTCAATTGAATTTTCTATCACTCATTCAATATGGGAAAATATAAATACTTTTTTTAATTATATGATATACAATTCAGCCAAAAATCGAACCCTTGAGAGTCAAGAAAGAAAATTGCTTTTTAAAATATTTATTTTTAACAATACATAAAGTATAAACAAATAATGAAAGACAGTTTCAAATAAGATTAATTGGTACATCACTGAAATACAAAAACCTTTTTACTATCACTAAATAAAACTAAAATGACTCTCCATAATAACTGTGATTTTAAGTGACACTATGACTAGGCTCTTTCAACCCGAACCTCCTCTAGCAAAAGCTCGGTCGTGTAACATTACATAGTTTACCGGCACTACTAGTTATTTTATCCGCAATTAATTATTACAATCTCGTTAAAAGTATTACAACGTATTTGACAAAACAATAATATTCGATAAAATAAATCGTAAAAGATTAGCTCCGTAAGTAGTTTTAGTCATGATTAATTCTATATTAAATATTTACTATAAAAATACACAAATCTTGGATCTTAAAATATATGTATCTATAGTAATTATAACTAGTTGATGTCTTTATCATGATATCATAGAATATTATAATATAATATTGCTTTTTATTCACATCATCCTTTTCAATACACCATTACAAAGCCATTATAAATTAAGGTTCCATAAAATGCAAATAACGATTCAAGTCAATAATCCAAATGTTATGTTAATTCACGGCACGAGTCTTAGTAAAGCTTTATTATGAACATCAAAATATTAGGTATGTCAATAGATTAACTAGAGGGAACGGTGAATGAAAAATTTACACATTTATACGATTGATATGCAAAAATAGTTGATATCATTATACATCAATAAACACCACTGTCGATGAACTTGAAGAAAAATATCAACTAATTAAATTTTTCTCACTTAATGATTCATTTGAGTCTCCGATAATATGTTAAACAAGCCGTAAAATATAATATAATAATAAACATCGCTTACAAATTATCAACGGTTCTTATTACAAAAGAATACAGGTGAATCAAAAACAATCACGGGTCATTTACACCGTTCGCGTTTGTGTGAACATTTGTACAGTTCTTTCAAATGTTCCATTGTAGACGCATAGTATTGTATTATCTATCGGTGTAAATTGTTCAAAATAAACAAAATGTTTGTGCGCTTACTTTGCTTTGTGTGGTGTTACGATCATTGATTATAAGATGACATAAGATCAATGCAGACATTAGTCAAGAAAACTCTTGTATTCTATTAAATTTCTTTCGATTTCGTAAAAAATATATCTTCATTATTTTCAATTATCAAAATTCATAGAAGCTACTCATTAAGTCGTAAGTTTTTTTGTGTTTTTCTTACACTATTGATTTCCTTACAGCTTTAGACCTGGAGTTCATATAAAAACTCTGTCAGCTTCAAGACTAATACTTTCATGCAGTCTTTCTTAGTTAATTAAAACGTCATTTAGGATATTTTATCAATTATCTCAAGAGATATAAATTGATAGAGTAATATGAATTCATTCCATTATTAGTCCCAATATTAAATGTTTTAATGATGTTGAATGTCCTAAATACTTGGCAAATGTTTTGTGTTTTTTTTTAACGTTTAAGAAAATAAAGTCAATGAAATACGAGTGGTAGTTCCAATAACATATAATCATATTATAATTATTTTTTAAATCTAAATTATGAAACCGGTATTGGTTTTAAACTGAGACATTTTTATATAAAAACATAACTCCACGTGCGAATTCGTGCACACATCAAATCATTGCAATACATGAATCACGGCATCAAATTATTTCTGCCCTGGATTCATTTTATACGCATTTAAAAATATCTTTTCACGTGGGATTTATTACGGCGAAACCCGTTCGAGGGGTGGTCCCTTCGGCTAAAGGAGTCGAGGGGATCTATTTTCTTATATATTTTTTTTTTCTTGACAAACCCCAGCTGTTATAGAGCATGTTATAAATAAAAATCGCGATTTCGACCTGTCACGCGAATAAGGGATGCATGTCATACATCGCATAACCAACCATCAAATTTAAGAGTTGCTAATTATGTTATATAGTTTATTATGATCGAGTAAGGTTGATTTTTGAATGTTTTTATTTTATCATATACTATGATAATGTGGTAGCATGTTATACATTCGACACAGGACGTCCTTTCTGTTTTGCAACAATTATTTTGGTACCGAACCGGAACAGTTTGAATACAGGTTTTGTTGATGTGATAGTTTTGGTTTTAATCGATTATAATATTTAAAATAAACATGTAATATCAACGAAAATATTATTTTTATATTTGATATAATTAAAGAATTATAACGCGATCCGCACAAGACTAGCTCAAGACCGTGGGAATACTTCCCCGCACCGCAACCCCAGTGGTTTAGCGATTCGTTCATGTAATAAAAACTAAAAACAATTTACTTGCAAACAGAAAAAAAATACATAAAACTCTCAAAAATCAGTCTGAAAATCACCAAATTCAAACGCTTAGACATATTTTAATTAAATATTTAGTTAATTTTTTTTTCTTTCGTCTAAGTTACGTCACACGAACTCGTAACATTACAAGGAAAGTAATAATAACTGTTCTCACAGCCGATCGGGTGTAAAATTACATCTGCGAAAATAAATTAAACAATCACGTAACAGACTTCACTTACGTTCAAATATCGCAACTGACTTAGGCCGTTTGTACACAGACTTGGATTATCAGCTAAAATTTGAATAGACAACTAAAATAACATAAAAATATTAAGTTATATGATACAATTTTAACATAAAAAATGATGTTTTGAAAGGTTTTAAAATAAAATTAAGTAGGTTTACTTAGTTGTACCGATTTATAAGTGTAATTGCATTTAACTTTAACACAATTTGAAACGTCTGAATTGTAGAGTTGTATAAATCGATTTTCTAAATTAAAAACTTTTTTCTCGACAAAGAAAAAAAACTAACTGGCGAGAGTTTCTAGCAAATGCTTAATACAAATCGTGACATAATTCAACTGCAGAGATGTTAATGGACCTAAATTAATTACTTCGTTTAATTTTATGCTCAAACAGCTATAAATATAATATAATTCTTAGGTAACTTGACCATACTGTTTCATTAGAAAGCTAACCGTCATACTGAGGGGTCAGCTTTAGTTAAAATTATTGTAATTTAATAACCCCGTCTGGTACTTGTTGCAACTGGTCCCTGTACAATTGATCACTTGTCATCCATTGTCAATTCCAGCACATGTGTGTATCAAAGAATGTTTTCGCTCGTAAATTCGCTGTAGATTCATATCGCGTGGTTGGTTAATTTATTCGATGTTAGATATAAAGATACCGACGGGACGGTAATGACTGCTAGAGGCTTGTTTAACTTGCTAATCGTTTGTTCAGGTTGTAGATGTAACGATAAAGCTCCCTACTATTGTAAGTTGACTTGTTTTTTCATTCAATTATATTACAACCATTAGTTTTATAGTCTTATAAATCACGTACAAAACTTTCATTTTTGTATTCTGTGTAAACTATATACGAAGTTCTGATATTAGGGGTGTTATTGTGAAATTATAATTGGTACAGATGCTTCGTAGCTTTCGTATGTATAGATGTTTGAGAGGTGTCATTGTAATCTTGGTATACAATAAAAAAGGTTCTTGTACTGTTTTAATATCCACAATGAGAAGCGCACGTGACTCTAACAGGTGTTGCATTGTTGTATGCAAATTGCACTCTCGTTTTCAACAACGACTTTTGGCTACTGTATTGCTTTTAACTTTAGCCGATCCATTAGATATGAATTTAAATACATTCAAAAATAATATGAATTACATTTTTAATATAATAATTTTTATAACAGCATTTCTTGTTACATTTTTATTACATATTATATAATTGTAACGAGTTTGACCATTTCAATTCCGTATCATATATCAAGTGGAGTGATTCACGAATGGTTCAAATTAAAACTAGTCGCCAAAATAAATGACGGACGACTTGTTAATCCCTATTGTTGTATGAGTTACGTGCAAAGTATCGACTTAAAGAAATTATTCGCAACACTAAAGGGTGAAGCTATTATCAAACGATTTCATTTAAATAGACGCTCATTATGTATCGATTTAGTTATGTGACCGTTACTTATCGTGGGAATTGCGATGGACTCGCGTTTCTTATTTAATACTAATGACATTGCAAACGTTGAATTATTTTGTGGTAATTTTTTTATTTTGTTTGATTAAAGTTATTAAATGTTTTATGTTTACTGCTTATTGTACACAAGCAACTTCTGTAAGATGATTGTTTTAACATTAATTAAGAAAATACTAGAGGCGCTTCTTATTGCTTCACTCTCCGATTCTATGGAAAAGCATACAATATATATGGGATATAAAATAAAAGTTTATTTTATTAGTTTTTCTATTAATCTGTGGATTCGTAGTGTTTTTCTGTTTAACGGGAATTTTGTTTATTTTTTATATATAGTATCATGTGTTAAGAAGTATCATTTGAATCATGATATAAAAATTATAGTTTCATTAAATATTTTGAACCATACGTTTTTACTTTTTATCGTATGTATGTATGACAATCGTCTCCGCGTAGATTTACTCAGCTGCGTACTATTTTCATGACGGTTCTATTATAAACAATACTTGAGATTTTATTAACAGCCACTGTATATTATGAC